CTGGGGCCCTTATGCAAACTGGGGACACTGGGGGAGGGGAGAGCAGCATTAGTCAGGGCACATACGGGCATCTACTTGATGGAAGAGGCAAACACGCCTGACTCGGGGTGAGAGGAGGACAGAATGAACCAGAAGCCTTATCGCCGGGCTTCTCTGGGTAGGGGCTGCATGGAAGGAGCCTCAGGACTCCTTCCTCTTCCCCCTGTCAGACTCCAGCCCACTCTCTTCACATGTCCCCCCCATCTCAGGGGCGCCCCTTCCCCTGGGAGGGTGCATGGGGGGCCTCATCTACAGTCAGCTCGGCTGGCTGGGGTAGGCTGACTAAAGAGAAGCCTTCTTCTCTGTCAGGCCCTCTCTGGGAGGCAGCCGGGAGGAAGACAAGGGGGAGGCACAGCTGATGGAGCCAGAGGGCCATCTTGGCCGGCCAAGTGGAGCGTGCTCAGGGCTGCTTACTTCCCAGCACAGAAGCAGGCCTTGTAAAGATCACAGCTGTTGGATTACACTGGAGTTCATATCACAGTTTATCAAAGAGGCTGGGCTTGCTCCCTCCTCTCCCTTTCTACGGAGTATAAGTGAAACGGTTCATGGGCAAACAAGCCCTGCGCTTGTTCTGCCTGCTTTGGCAGGAGGATGGGAAGATGCCGGGGAGGGAAATGTACACGAACACCTACTTGGGGTAGAGTTGTTTTAATGGACCAGGGCAGGGCTGCGGGTGGGTGCCCTGGGTGCTGGGAGGCAGCCTGGTGCCCCAGAGTGAGTGCTTGCAGGCACAGGAACGTCACTTACTTTGTCTTCTCCCTGCATTCCCCCCTCCCCACAGACCACCATGGGAGGCTAAGGCCTCATCATGAGGCAGAACAGCTCCCCTTTATCAAGCTGTGCTGAGAGCCCTAACACACGGAAGAGCTTATGTAACCTCTCTGCAAAACGACAAGGCAGGCACTATTATCGTCTTATAGCCAGAGCAAAATGAGCTTGGACACAGGCCATCAAATTAAAAACAGGACTTGAACCCAAGTCTGTGATTCCAGAAGCTCCACTCTTATCTGGCTTTGGAGTGCCTGGGGAGATCCATCCTGACAGTCCTAGGGAGGGGGAAAGGAGGTAGGTCAGATGGGGGAGTCTTGGAACAGCCCCCCTGCAGCAATCCTACACCCTAACCCCCTCTTCCCTATGGACTGGGTGGGCTTCAACTCCTGCAGCCCAGAAAAGGGCCCAGATCCGGGGCAGGTCTCAGTGAGTTTGGCTGAGATGAGGTTTCGGAGCCACTGGGTCTCTCCAACCTCCACAAGAGTCTAAACACTTCCATCTACCAGATAACAAGGCCACATGGACACCGACCGGCTGGCCAACCCACCCAGGGCCTGGCTGGGCTTGGGGAGCCCCACTCCCACTCCCCCATGGAGGGGCGGCCTGGGAAAGCCATGTATGGCAGAGGAAACGCTCCGAGTCCTGAGGGAAATCATGCCTCTTCCTCCACGCTGAGCCCCCCTGCCAGATGTCTGTCTTCCAGAACTCCGGATGCCTTTGTCTTCTACAGACAGCAGCGCCTGAGCAGTCTGAGCTAAACACACGAACTGCAGAAATAACAGCTTTTAACTGGTTCGCCGGAACAATCTCTTTCCTTTCTTTCTCAAAGCTCAATCTTGGGGGTTGAGAGGAACAACTTACAGTGTGCTCACCACCTGAATGAGAGGATGAAGGAATCACTTACTGTGTTTCTTATCAGGCCAGTGACTGCACCTTGGTCGCCTGCCTGTACCATTACCATGCCCCTCTTTAAAGTTGTCAGCAGAAAATCAGAAAATAAATCAAAAGCAGGTGGGCAGGTGGGCAAGCTGGAGTCCTCGTCCCCAGCAAGCTGCCTGACCACATGACCCTTGAGAGAACCCGTCTTCAGGCCACCTCTGCATCTCATACAGTGCTGGCTGCTCTGGGAGCCCAGTGGCCTGGACCATGACCTGAGTTGTGGCGGGGCAGGCTGGCTGAGCAGGCAGCAGGTGCACAGAGCCAGCAAGACCAGGAGAGCTGGGCCAGGTGGCTGTCTGCTCTAACATATAATGACAGGTACCAGAAGCTGCTTCTGGGATAGGCCAGACAATGAAGCCCAGGACTAGCAGAGACAGTGTGAGGGGCCCAGACACAAGGTTCCTCCATCACAACCTACTGGTGCAAGTACCCAGGATGAGAAGATCTCTGTTCCAGGAGGAATGAAACTGGAGGCCAGGTTGTATGCCCACTGGGCCTTGATGGGGAGCCCAGGTGTGTGAGCCCCTGCGAAGCAGCTATTGTCAATTCAGAAATGCAGAAAAAAGGACTCATGGGCCCAGGACTCATGGGCTGCTAAGGAATGGGGCCTCAGGTGTGCTTGGGGCCTCGAGGCCGCTGGCTCAGCACTTTCCCCCATGAAGGGGAATACGGTGGCTACACCATTAGCAGAGGGCAGGGGTCTGAAGCTCAGTTCTAACCAAGTTGGGTGGGCACATGGCTTCCTCCCATTTCCCTTCTGCAAAATGAGGAGTCCCATGAGAACAGGCTGCCCAGAGACACTGCAGAGGCGGAGAGCCTCAGTGCCCCAGGGGCTATACATGGGAACATGGCAGGCAAGGGACCTTGGCTTTATGGACTCTCAGGGCCCTGTGGGTGGGGAGAAGATTGGAGCTTGGGGCATCCACACCTCTGCTCGGCGCTGCCCCGGGATGCTGCTTCTTCCCTTGAGCTACTGTGCAACATGCCTGACAAGGCAAGGGAGGCTAATGAGGCTAGAAAACCCCACATGAGCCCATCCTCCAGAGAGAAAGGCAGGTACATGTCCTTTTCCAAAGGCCTCTCTTTCCACTGATTTCTCGGCAAGGAGGCTCTTCAAAAGAGCTGACACTTTGCAATTTAGAAAACCATATAAAGTTAACCGTCACTCATGGTCCTGGAGGGTGGGAGAGAGCTCACCCTACACTGAACCTCCACTTCAATCCCCAGAGCACTGTCCAACTTGATGTGAAGGAAAAACTGTGCAGGTCTTCTTGGCAAATGAGGGTGAAAATCCCTGTCTGTCCCCTGGAACCTGCCATTTTTGCTCCCTAGGAGATACTGGCGAGACGCTTCTGATATCCCAACTGGGTGGATGAGACACTCCTGACATCTAGCACAGAGGGGCCAGTGATGCTGCCCAAGACCCTGCTTGGCACAGGACAAGCAGCCCACAGAAAATGACCCCGCCCCAAGGCAGAGAGTGCTGAGGTTGAGCAGCCTGTTCAGAAAACCCACAGGATGGCCATGCCCTTGGGTACCACAGAAGCCCTTCTTTCCCAAGAGCAAGAATGTTGTGCTCCTGATGTTCATTCATCTCTCTGTCCCTCCCTGTAACTTAGGCTGTCCTCAGGGTACCCTCAAAATCATCCTCAGGCCTCAGAGGAAGGTCCTGTGGCTCTTCCTCTCCCTCAGAGAAATCTGGGTGAAGGTGGGGGGTCAGTCCCTTTCCCACAGTGCACCTCATGGCTAAATAGGCTCCTAGGAGACCCCAAGGCCTCATCCCCTCACTGCCAACCCCACTTCCCTTCCTTCCTTCCACCAAGCAGGTCCTTTTCAGCCTTCTTCCCTGGTTTCTCCTTCTTCACCCACATGGGAGCTCCTTGTAAAACAGGCTCTTCTTACCGCATTCTAACTGCCTAAGAATGAAGCAGCTCAGGGCAGAAATCTCTAGAGTGTACTTGTGTGGTTAGTGTTCAGTAAAATCTGTTGAACAAACCAATGGATGAACGAGCAAATAAGCAAGGGAAGGGAGAGGGGGAGGGCGAAAAGAAGGAGAGAGGAAGTGAGGAAGGACTGAATGTGGGTGCTGACAATTCTAGATTAGTGTCTCAGGCCTGGGGCCTTCTATTGAGATGCAGCATGGAACTGCTTCTACATCTCTCCTTTGGTGTTCTCCATGCAATTAAACCAGGCTGGGCCCCTCCTCCCTCCTGCTGTTTCCGGGGCTCCCCTCTCAGGGACTATCCCACCACCCACCCAGCTGCTCACAGGACTCCCTCACCCTCGCCCTTCATGCACTCAGTCACTAATCAGTTCTACTTCCTTCCAACTCTGGAATCCTGCTGCTTCTCCCAGCCCCCACCGGCCCTCACAGGGACAGCAGCCTCCCAAGCAGTCCCCCTTGTCCACCCACTGTCCCCACGGCACAGCAATCTTTACAGGCAGGATCAGGCCACACCACCCCCCTGCACAGGCCGGCCCCTCGCCCACCCTCTGGTTTCTATCAAAGTGAACGCTCCCTGCTTGTTCCTGCCTTGAAGCTCAGCAAGGCTGAGCCCTCTGCCCGGATTCCTCCCTCACCCCCAGGCCCCTCAGGATGGCCTGGGACCTCCTGGGACCAGATGGGTGCAGAAGCTCTCCAGCACCCTGGGCGGCCCCGCCTTCATCCCCACGCCCAAGCCCCCTCTCATCTCACACAGACCAGGGCTGGGCCAGGGGCCAGGGGCAGCTGAGACCCCTGAGGAAAACGCCACTGCCTGGCTTTGCCGGGGAACCTGGAGAGGCCCGGGCCCCACCGAGATTTCCGTGACCCGCCGGTCACACTCTGCACAGGGGTAACAGGCAACTGGTGGTGACAGTTTTAGAAGCCCTGAGAGCCTGGGGCTGGTGCCCAGGGCGGGCTGACATGACTCTGCGGGAGCCACAGCTGCCACTGACGTGACCAAACCCCAAGCCGGTGGCTGGCCCCTCGCACAGCCCGGGGCCCGGCCCACCCAGGCCAGCCGCCTTCCTCCCACGACGCCGTCACGGGGTGCTGACAGGACAGCTGACCTCGCGGGAAACAGAGCCTCACAGCTGAGAGGCAAATTCCTTTGTTGGGAAGATGGCTGGCGAAGCTCCTCTGCCCTGGCTGGCAGCGCCAGCTACAGCAGAGAGGCCAGGATGCCCAGCTTCTCCTAAGAGCACAAGCGAAGGCAGAGGGAAGAGCGAGGGGCTGGAGCGGGCCGGGGGCCGGCAGGCTGCGGGCTGACCTGATGATGAAGGCGCCTCTGGCCTCCAGCAGCTTCCGTTCACTGCTGAACCGCTTGAGCAGGTTGATCATGAACTTGTAGAAGTAGGAGTTCATGGTGGGAGTGGAAGGAGAGCACTCTAAGCCTTTGGTACCTGTGGAGGAAGCACAGGGACCTGACGTCACCAGGTGTCCTCGCCCTGAGAATACAAACCTGTCAAAGGGGGGCAGGTGAGGGAGACTCTTCCCTGAGGGGAGGGTCCCCGCAGGGAGCAAGCACCCTGCAGGTGGGAACAAGCTCACCCGCTGCTCCCTGCAGACCCCTCTGCCCCGCCACCGCCCAGGACCAGCGCAAGGAGTCCCGGCCGGAGCTGTGAGTGCACACACACCGTGACACCCCAGGACATGAAACACACCTGGTCTTTATTTCGGTCTGTTAAGGGGAAAGACGCAAGACCCAGCCCAGCGGCCTTCAAGGCAGGTTCCTCCCTGCGAATGAGGACCGGGAGGAAGCGGGGACAGGCCCATGGAGGAGACGGCTCACACTGACAAATGTGGCCTTGTGGCCGTGTGTCGGCGTCACCCGATGCTTAGAAAGCAGACATTCTCCTCCTCTTCAGGCAGAGATGCTCCTTCAGAGCCGCCTCTGCGCACTGGAAGCCCTGAGCTGGCTGCAGAACCAGAGGCGCCTTCGGGTCTCCCTGTGGCATGTGTCCCCGCCAAGGGCCTACACAGCCCCTTGCCCTGCTGGCGACGTGTGCCCACCTCGGTGGTCTCCCCACATGCCCCCAATACACGCTGATCAAGCACGGCTGGAAAGGGGTGTCAGGGACGCTAGGGGTCCTCGCCCCTCTGCCTGAGTCATTAACAGGATTTTTTTGAGAACACCAGCTGAACTGAGATATAATTCACATGTCGTGTTCACTCTTAAAGCAAACAATTCATGGGTTTTCAGTGTATTCACAAAGTCATTCATCAGTCACTGCTAACTCCAGGGCATTGTCATCACCCCCAAAAGACCCCACACCCACTGCCACTCCCCTTCCCCTCCCCCAACCCCTCCAACCAGCACGCCACGGTCTCTACGGATCTGCTTATTCTGGACACGCCGTAGGTGGACTCGCACGACGTGTGGCTTTCACGAGGCGTGGCGCTTTCGGGGGCCACCACGCGGCGGTGTCCATCTGCCCTTTGTTCATGTTTATGTCCGAATAACTTTCCACAGCCTGCAGGTACCACATTCGACCCTTCCATCGGCTGGCGCTCATCTGGTCCTTCCAGGTTGGGGAACATCCGCAGGTGCTTTGTGTGCTCACAGGGTCACTTACCCGGTGGCTTCCCAGGAGTGCCCAGGACATAACGCAACCCGGTGTCTCTCTTGGGAGGAGCCCCCCGCCACTCCCACAGAGCCGCACACTCCTACCCGCCGTCTAGGGGCTTCTGGTTTCCCCACAGCCCCCACACTGACGACCTGACTTCCCGTGACGGCCCCTGTGGGTGGGCGGCGGGCGTGAGCCCGTCCCTGCCGAGGGGCACCCAGCACCTTCCGCGCCCAGTGGCTATTGGTGAACCTGCTTCCGAGAGACGCCCCTCCAAACCCTCGGACGTTTTTAAATTGGGTTCTTGGTCTTTTCATTGCTGAGTTGCAAGGGTTCTTGGGGACGAGTCTTATCAGACATCTGATTTGCAAAATATTCCCTGTTCTATGTGACGCCTTTTCCCTTTCTTGATGGGGTCCTGGGAAGCACAAAATTTTGAATTTCGATGACGTTCAATTTCTCTGTTCTTTCTTGCGTTGCTTGTGCTCAAGGTCACAGAGGTTCACTAGCATGCTTTCTTCCGAGGGTTTCCGTTTGAGCCCACATTTAGGTCCTTCCTCCCGGTCAGTGCTATCTAGGTGAACCGAGCTACCAGGCGTGAGGAAGGAGTGGGAATTCTGAGGGTAACACAGTATCTGGCCACGTGTGGGGGCGTTACTTACTTTTTATACTCAAACACTTTCCATCTTAATTGAAAAGTAACTGACGGGGATGTGTAAGTTTAAGGTGCCCCACACATTTCACACACACACACACTCCGTGAAATGGTTACCGCGGCGCCTGCCACCTCCCTCCAGCACCCCACAGAATTACCATGGCCGCTGAGGTTGAGGACATGAGAGATGCACCCTCGCAGCCACTCAGTGCACAACGCGTCCGAGGAGCGGCAGCCGACGCTGAGCTCGGCGGGCCTCGCTCACCCTGCAGGGGCAAGTCCGGGCTGTCCAGAGGCGCCTGCGCACAGGACTCCTGGAGCTCCGAGGGCTGCGGCGTGCGCCGGCGTCTCGATGTCCTGGGCGCGTGTGGCCCCTTCACACACAGCAACAACTGTCCCTCGGGTACCGCCGCTGTGCTCACCACACCGAGAAGGCCCAGGACCACGCCAGGGCAGAGCGGCGGGAGGTGGAGTCTGAACGTGGCGCCCAAAGCCGCGCGTCATCAGAAGGACCCGGAGCGCAGCCTGAGCTGCCTGGCCAACGTCAGAGGCTCCTTCCGGCCCGACCTAGTTAAAAGCTACATGTGCAGGCAGGCTCCTCGGGGCCTGACATTCTGTTTGGTGCAGGAACATCCATTTACACAATAAATCCTCATCCCAGGCGGGCCCCGCCACCATTTTGTGAACACGTGACCCATAGAAGAGACAGGATTTGGGCACTCAACTCCACAGGTCCCACACAGCCTAGACTCTGGACACCCCACGCTGCCCGACCCCAACAGTCCTCTACAGCTCCCAACTCCCTTGAGGAAGGGGAGCTGGGCTTGGGCACTGATCTCTATGTCTGGTCAGCTGGCTGACACACCAGGAGCCCACCTTGAGTCAGCTAGCTGACAGCCTGAGGCAGTTCAGAGCCCACATTCTCAGCCCTTCTGCCATGCTGTCCACCTCTTGGGCACTGGTGACTCCACACTCCTAGGCAGGAAGCAGAAGAGGGCATCAGGATTGAAGTTCAGGCCAGCCAAGACTGAAGATACCAAGACAATGACCCTTTGGGAGGGGAGTGGGGGTACTGGGGAGAGGAGATGGGGGACAGCAAGAAAGCACCTGGCCACCACACTCTGGGACCTCCGAGAGGGACACAACAGAGGCATCTGGGGCCCATGTTTGCCGGCCAGCTCCCCGCTGGCATGATGACTTCCTCTCCACACCAAAGAGTGGGATGTCCAGGTGGGGGTGGGGTCTCTGGAAACCAGACAGGCAAGGGGAGATCAGTTCCCAGAAGTATCAGCCCAAAGCACAAAAGAAGGCGCTCCCGGAGCACTACCAGCTAGCCTTACAGAGGAGGGACTGCTGACCAGGGTCAGGCATCAAGGCTTCCTCCCAGAACTTCTTTTTTGCTGAACTCAGACTTCCCTGACATCTTCACATGGTCCTGATGGGGAAGTGGCTGGGACCCAGAAAAGGTCTTTTCCTGTTGTTTCTCCCAGCTGTGAATCACCCTATCAGGATTCCTTACTGGGTGCCACACCTTCAAACTACTGTCCTTTCCCCGAGGACCTCCTAGATAGCTCCCAGGGACAGGGCAAGGGGTGAGTCCTGAGTGAGAAGCCAGGTTCAAGGGCAGGCCCCACTGAACTTCTGACTGTTTGTAGTGCGTTGCGTTGGGTCTCTGCCCAGAACAGCCTGGCCTGTGAGGTCCTGAGTGACTCTGGAATGGCAAACAGTCTCTGCTCCCTGGCCCACAGGGGCTGTTTGCAGAATCAAGTGTCACATTCTTACAGATCGAGTTACCCAGGCCCAGCTGGGGCTGATCTCTGAGGAGGTGGCTGCAGATACAGCTGCTGAGGCGGCCTGCTGCCTGCTGCAGGCCTCCTGCCTGTCCCGCACCAAGGATACGAATTGGACGCTCACCCACACACAGGAGGTGTGTGTCTACCAGCCCAGCCACATGCAGCCTTCTCCGGGCCCTCTTTTCTCATGCCCTCTCTCTACCAACGGTCCTGTTCCCTTCTTGATTCTCCACGGGTACCCCTGTCCCACCCCACTTCCAAGTCTAGGGCCAGTTAGCCTCTAAAGTCCTCCAAAGGACAAAGACACCAAATCAGAGAATGACCATAAAAATCCTCCCCACTGAGGTCATTGTCTTTATTCCTGAGGGGCTGGGTGCCATGAACACCAGGTTGATGTGTTCTGGTCTCAAAGGGGTAGCGGAAGTTTAAAAGCCTGGCCTGGTAGTCCGTCAGACATGGGCTCAGGCACAACTTCACTCTACCACTTATTTTTCTTTTTAAAGATTTATTTATTTGTGCATACAGAACTGGGATACAGGCCAGAGGCTCAGGGGCAGCGAGAGGCTTCACCAGAGACAGAGCGGGGAGCAGAACAGGCAGATCGACGAAGTACACTGCTGAGGGGAGCAGCGGGCGGGTCAGGAGAGGTCTGCCGTGCCATGTGGATCTCCTCTGGGGCAGGCGGGGATCGAACTCATGCGGAAGTGGCTTTAGATTCTCAGTGCTGTGCTTTAACCCTCTGTGCCACCGGGGAGGGCCCACTGTACCACTTATTGACTGTGAAACTTTGGACGAGTCTCTTGGGCTCTCTCAGCCTCAGTTCCCTCACTTGTATAGTGGGGCAGTAAGGACCCTTATTACATGAGATAAACCATGTAACGTATAGGCCCAAGAGAGGAGGTTGGGGGCCCTCCCTGGTGGCACAACAGATTAAAGTGCAGCACTACGAAGCTAGCTGCGGCCTCTTCAGCTTGAGTTCGATCCCTGGCCAGGGAACTGACACGGCAGACTTCTCCTGTCTTGCCCACCACTCCCCTCAACAGTGTACTTTGTCAATCTGCCTATTCTGTTCCCTTCTGGTGAATCCTCTCATACCCCTTGCATACCCCTGGTCCGTACCCCAGTTCTGCAGGCAAAAATAAATACATCTTAAAAAAAAAAGAGTAGAGGTTGGATACAGGTACAGCCCCACAATCTCCCTTGCCCTGCAACCCTCTGTCACTGTGAGCACAGTCCTGTGTCTTTGGGGTGTATTTCCACAGCCAAGCCCCCGGCTGGAGGCTCAGGGCATGTCTACAAGTGGTGGTTGTAGCGACCGCTCCTCTGTACCGTCAGGGTTGAGTGTAATACAACCAGGACTTAACGACGAAAGCCACACCAGT